GACCTTTTTTTTTTTTTTTTTTTTTTTTTTTTAGCTATATTTATGGGCGCTAGCAATACTAAGCCTGGGGCGCGTATACCCGATTCGATTTTATTAGTCATCAGGATCTCTACCAACCTACCCTCAAATTGAAATTCGTTTAGGCAGGATTAGAGTAAGTTAATCTATGAGCGTGATCAAATACATCAATCGAAAGGGTTTGTCCTCCTGAGTCCAAAACTGTAATTAGATCTCAAATCGATCAAGAGATGACAGAGCTATGAGCTAAAAGTTTGTACTTGGAAAAAACTATATGAGCTGCTAAGTCGCAGATAACAAGAAACGAAAACCAATAGTATGTTATGTGTATGTCACCCTAGATATTACTAACGCCTCATACTATGCCTAAATCACAATAAATTTAGATATGAATAAAATGTCTTACAAAACTATCATGTATGGTAATCATTAAGGAAACGGTCATATTTATTAACTTCATTAATTTGATGAAGTCCACTAGTTTCTTGTGCACCATTAGTTTGAAATTTCAAATGCAGTGGCAGAGATATTAAAAATGATAAATATCACGCAAGTCGAGATACTAAAATTAGCGGCTCGTTTCAGAATAATAATATAAAACTAATATTAACTGACATTTTAGTAGACGCCATTGTTTTCATTGCTCATTGAACTCATAGAACACCCTTAAAGGGGTAAGCGCAAGTTTGTAGAAAGTGATTGAATAATTAAGGAATGTTTCATCGTCTCTTATTCTCCAGCACTTGAAGCTTACTCATGTAACGAATACTGATTCCAAACGAACACATTAATTACAAGGGAGCATCTCAGGATATTTACCATTAAGCCCCCCCCCCCCCCAATGGCATAGCGGTATGTTTGCGGACTTACAACGCTATAAGTCGGGTTTCGATACCCGTGGTTGGCAGATCACGGATAGCTCATTGTGTAGTTTTGTACTTACCTTCAAACAAACAAACTCAACCTTAACACTCTTCTTTAAATAAATGAAAATTATTTTCTGTCTTCGGGGTAAACGATAGCTTGAGAGCCTTAACTGTTTGTCCCTGACGAAGAAAGGACCACCTTTCGAAAGCACTGGGCTATAAGGTTTTGTATTTAATATAGTTTTTGAAGCTACGTGTTTTCCTAACATCATGAATGATGGCTTAACTGGTGCCCTCGGCAAAAACTAGGGAGCAGTTAATGAAGTTTGTATCCACTATTACGGAATATCACCAAATGTTTGTGGATAAAAGTTTCAGTACAACTTTTGATAACAAGAAGAGAACTATATATATATATAGTGTTTATGATTTGTCGGTTAATTTTTATAGTGTGAAGAATTTGTTGTACATACGTTTAACTTGTTCCAAATATATATATATATATATATATTATTTTTAAAACAAGTGGAGTGTGTGCTGTTCATTTATCGCTAACAAGTCACAGACATCTACTGTAGAAGAATCCTACGCCCAACAACAATACAGTATATATTTACACTATTAAGAAGTGTAATTAAAAGCCTTTTTATTTTGACAGTAGGCAAATAATATATATATTGTTACGACAGCGGGAGTCACGTGACCCTGGTAACACGTAATGAATTCTAGAAAGATCGGGGAACATCACGAATAATCCAGTATGTGCTAGGCGCCCTCTATTATTATATATAAAT